ACTAGAAGCGATGCACTTGTTCCTAGTAGCTTCTTGTTACTAGAAGCATCCCTTTGGAACGCATGTTTTCTCTTTGGTATGTGGGAGTCCAACCGAAACGGCGAGAACAGACCATGCACTGGACCAGTTGCCATGACGCGTGGGCAATCGTGGGCAATGATAAGACGAATATAAGAACCTAGAAAATGCCAAGAGAGTGCCAACTTGGACTTTGTGGTTTACGCAAGCGAAGGTGTTTCTTGCATCATCCATCCCCTACCACATCCGTTTTGGCATTTTGGTGCATTTTTTCCAGGTCAGTTGGACCTCATGTTCGCTTGTTCTGTCATCGAAACACCGCCCGACTTGGAATCCTTCCGGTCTCCGGTCGACGCTCCGTGCATCGATGCTCCGTGCATAACGCGCCTCCGAGTTCATGGGCTACTTGGCCCTGGGATGCATCGGCATGACCGACGCGGCAGCTGACTGGAGGCCAGTGAAACAGACCAGACAGGAGTCAGTAGCTTTATGCTGTGAGGCTGTTGAGAGGGAGAGGAGAGGCATCTTGTGTGTGGCGCCGAACTCGGCGTTTCTTTGGTGTCGTCCGTAGGTCCGTACGTCTCTCTTGGATTCAGTTTTTGGGACATCGCGACACTTCAGCAAGGCAAGACCCTCCGAGTTGGAGACAACCGCATCATGGTGAGACAACCTTCAGTCACGAAGATGAAACAAAGGCTTGTGTGTTTTTTTCTGGAGCTTTTCTCTCCGCCCTACTGCATCCAAGCCTGTTTTTTCTTCCTGTCCCGAAGTCCAAGACGATGTTCGGCACCATCCAAGTACCTTTTTAAGCTAGTAGTAACAAGTGCCACGCTACTAGTAACAGGTGCCTTACTAGTAGTAACAAGGTTCGCTAGTAGTAACAAGTATTCATTCGGAATTCCTTTTCGGATCACCAAGTCGGGCCGTTTCGGTCGACTGGACTCCGAGTGTCGCGAATCGGCTGGACTCGGCAGGTCCATCTTGGGCGTCCAGGTGCATTTCAGCGAGGGCGCGTACTTCCCGCATGGAGGCCATCGCGGCTGTGGGGTTTGGAGGCCATGTCTCTCTTAGGTTGGAGGCCGCTAGGTAGCTTGGATCGTATGGCTAGGCCCCAGCGCCATCACCCGCGCGATGGTGCAGAAGATCGAGAGCCAAGGAGGCTGGTGGGCTGGTGGATCTGTGTGGGATCTGATTGGATAGGCAGACAGAGAAGTTCCTGATGGCAGAAAATGGAAAGGGAATGAAGTTGAATGGGGAAGTCTGCATGGTTTCTTTTCGAATGGGCGGAAGAAGACATCTTTGAGGGTCTCTTGGAATGGAAGGGGGCAAGATAGTATGTGAAGTTTCCAGGTGGGGTCGTCTTTGGAAGGCTTTGAAGAAAGACCTGCCAGAACCCCATGTTACCAAGAAGGCTGCGTTCGTTGCTGTTCGATGCCAACCTTTCCCTTCACCCGCTTTAGCCAAAAAATCGCCCACAAGACTCCAACCTAGAAGAAATGGCCTCCAACCCAAAAGCGTTCTTGCTGCTAATAGAAATATGCACTTGTTGCTACTAGCGATGGCCTCTAAGCCACTAAAATCGCCCGGATCGACTCGCACTCCACCTCAACGCGCAGGGCGCGTTTATGTACGCGCGCGAGTAGATGATCTGCTGTGGGAGGGCCAGAGCTGCTGTGGGGTCGTGCTGGAGCCTTGACGGAAGAGCTGTGGAGGGTCGTCAGTGGTACCAGGGGGTTTGTGGTGAGACTTCCGTGTGTGATGCTCTTGGCCCAAGTCTTTTATCGTTGGTAACTTCGTTGGCGAATTGTGCTGGCTCTTTCGCAAATCATAACACAAGAGAAGGAAAAAGGCACGAATAAACGAGAGAAAGAAGCAGAAAAAGTGTGAATATGCTGAATAAAGCATAAAAGAGTTGCATTCTTCCAGTTTCTTTGCCGACTGATGGCGACACCAAGGAGAAGGACAGCTTAACGGTCCGTGCCCCTATCGTGGCAACTTGGCAGACCGCCCAACCGCTGTCGTACGCGACGGTCCTCTCGTATGCTCCAGGGCAAGCCGAAGCGGCCGAAAGAACCAGACGGAAGGGAGGCCGTGGTTCCAACAACCAACCACCTGAAAAAAATGGATATGTGTTGCTTCTCACAGCCCGCACGGAACGAAGACAAGCACCCTTTCTCGCAAGACTAGTAACAAGTGCATCACTACTAGTAACAAGTGCCTTACTAGTAGTAACCAGAAGCTATTAGGAACAAGTGCATCGCTAGTATTAACTTCTTCCGCGAACGGATCATGCCCCGAGGAACGGTTCATGCCCTGAGGTCTCCTCGGTGGGCCTTCACAATACCGAGAGGTTCCTCCGCGAGACGCTTGGTTCGGGGAACCGACGTGCTCGGCCGACGACGAAAAAACACGGTGCTTTTCTTGCATAGATTGTGGTGAGAAGTAAGTGTTCTTGTCCTGCCTTGGATCAGTCAAAGGTTGCTCTGAGGGCATCAAATGGTCAAATCCCACACTTTGACCCTCCCCCTTTTTCAGAAAAAAAGGCAAACCACCCGTCATGTTCCGCTTGAGGAAGCCCTGCCACGACGCTTTCGTGGAGCGCTTGCGGCCTCTGCAGCGGACGTACCTTGGGACGATGAGACGGTCTCTTGCGGAACAAGTGCATCGCTAGTAGTAACAGGTGCCTTACTAGTAGTAACAAGAAGCTACTAG